ACAAAAAACTGCCATTTTCTCAAAATCACATTTTCACTCATGATAGTAAGGTTAACTATGTATGTAATTATGCGATTTAAATCATTCTTGTTGCAAAATGATCGTCCAGTTCGTATCTACTAAATGTAGCAAAGTCATGCATTATTTCCACCAAATACATTTTTTACTGAAAAAACTAATGGCGATTTTCGGACGAAAAGAAGGCGCTTTTTTGCAAGGTAACTGAAACATTGTTGTTTCAGATAGATTTGCATAAATGCTACATTTGGTACTCCTATTTGTTGACTAACTCTGGTCAGAAGGAAACTGCAGTACTATTTACTATAAGGAAACCATCACATAATTTTTTAATTCTATCATCTCGCTTTTTTTTTTTTTTTTTTTTTTTTTGTGCAAAAATTTACGCAGCTTTTTAAATCAAATTTCTTGTATACAAGCATCACATACCCATGCACTTTGTGTAAAAAAATTATTGACCTAGCTAAAAAACTAAAGTAAGCAGGATCGGATAACGAATTTCGTGATCGTACCGACGACTCTTCCCCTTAAGCATCCAGTAGCCATTTGTAAAATTTGGTTTTGGAAGGTTTCTAGTTTTTTAAGTTCTGTGTCTTTTGCTGCCCCGTATATGGTTATTCCATATTCTATCTTTGGTTTTATATATCTTGTAGAATTTTAGTAGGGCTTCTCTGTTTGCTCCCCAATTAAATGAGGCTAGTTTTTTCATGAGGTTTAATCTGTTTAACTTTTAAATTATTTATATGATTTTTCCATTTTAGTTTTGGTGCATCTAGTGTTAGTCCTAATATTTTGTGACTTTGTACATATTTAAGTTCTATGTTATCTATTTTTATTTTTGGTTGTTGGTTTATTTTCTAATTTGAAAAACAGAGTGACTTACTTTTTAGAAAGTTTATTTTCAAGTCCCAATTATTTGTCCATGTTTTAATTTTTTGTAGTTTGGTTTCTAATTTGTTAGATGCTTCTATTAAGTTTTGTTCCTTGTCATTGATGTTATGTAATCTGCATCTATTATTTTTTCAATGTCAGTTAGTTTTATATCATTAATCATTATATTAAATGATATTGGGCTTATTGGAGATCTTTGTGGTACTCCACATTTTGTTTTTCCTTTTTCAGATGTTATGTTTCCTATTTTCATTTGGAATGTTCTGTTTTCTAGTAGGTTATTTATCCGTGTTAAGGGATATCCTGTTATACCTAAATTGGCCTTTTTTAAAAGTAATGCTTCATTTCAAAAGATTTTTCTAGGTCTATGCAGGCTATTAGGGTGTATTTTTTGTCTAGGAATGCTTTGTTAATATGATTATCTAATATGTACAGCTTCCAATGTACTTCTACTGGGTCTGAATCCATTTAAATCTTTATCTAGTTTGTTATAATGTTCTAGATACCAAGTTAATCTTTGTTTTGATATTTTTGTATATTTTTCCAATACAGGATATTCTACATATAAATCTATAAGATTTTGTACAAGTAGAGTTCTTACCTGGCTTAATTATGGGGTTAATTCACACATTTTTTAGTGATTCTGGATATTCTCCCCTGGACCAATGCAAATTAAAGATTTTTAATATTGCTTTCAATATGTTATCTGGGGCATTCTTATATAATTCATAAGGAATTTCTTCGGGGCCGAATGCTTTGTTATTTTTTGGCACTTTTTAGTATTGATTTTAATTCTACTGTTGTTAAGTCTATACTTTATTCATTGGCATTTTGTAAGTTGAATAGGATGAATTTTTCTGAGTTTGGTAGGAATCTTTTTGTTTTTTTATTTACTATTTTCATATATTCCTTTCAAAAATTTTCTAATTTGTGATTGATATATGTTAATGGTAATTTATTGTCCATGATTGGGTATTCCATTGTAGTAGCTTTTCCTGATAGTTTCTTAAAGAAATTCCAGATTTTTCTTGGTGTATTTTTAAAGCTTATTGATTCACAGAACTTACTCCAGGATTTCTTTTGTTGTTGTAATATTGTGAGTTTAGCTTTTGCTAATGATTTTTTGTATTCCATTTGATTAACTTGAGTTGTAATTTTTCCTCCATCTGTTATAAGCTTTATTTCTTTCTTTGATGATTATATCACAGTCTTTGTTCCACCATGGTTTATTAGGTTTATCTTTGTATTGTCTTGTTTCTAGTTTAAAGTATTTTAATGCCGTATTTTTTTATCAATTCTGTTAATTTTTCTATGGATGTTAAGTCATCTGAAATTCCTGCCATCTTTCTTTTGCATAGTTCCGTTTTTTTCTTTAAGTAATTGACTGTCTCTATGTGTGTCATCTGTTATTACTATTGGTAAATGATCACTTATTAGATGAGGTGCTGTTTTTATTTGTAAGTGACTTTGGGTAGGTGAGCCAAATACGAGATCTAAGGTGGATTCTTTTGCTGTTTTGGGATCTATTCTAGTAGTAAATTTCTTGGAGTTATTAATGTTACATTCTTTTGACTTAACCATTTGGTTACATTTATGCCTGTTATGTTGGTTTGTCTCTGGCTGATGTTTTCGTTCCAGAGAGTATGATGTGCATTAAAGTCACCTATCATTAATTTTGGATGTCTGACTTGGTCAGAGTAGTATTCTAGTTCTTCTGTTTGTATTGAATTGCATGGGTTGTATAGTTAAATTATATTTAACCAATTGCCTTTGTAACTTATTTTGATTCCTAACACTTCTACTTTGTCATTGTATCTGTCTCTTAATTCTATTTTTTTGTATTGTAATTCGTGTTTTATACAGAATGCAAGGCCTCCTCCTATTTGATTAGTTCTATCTTTTCTCATGCCTGTGTATTTGTTGAAATTGAGTTTATCTTTTTCTTTTAACCAGGTTTCATTGATTGCGATTATTCCTGGGTTTTCTTTACATGATAGAGGATTTAATTTTTTTTTTTTTTTTTTTTTTTTTTTTTTTTTTATTCAATATTGATCTTGCTTTCCATAATATAATTTTGTACACTTTAGTAATGTAAAACAAATTTAGCTCTCTGCTAATTTCGTTTAGTATGTTCGTTATGTTCTGAATTAAAGGTTTCTCGGAGGTTAAGTTGTTATCTTTGTTATCACTATTATTTTCTTTGTACATTATTGGGCTTTGTGAAAGTGATAATTTTTGATCATAGCTTTCTTAGCTATTTACTTCTGTTGTTTGCGATATTGTGATATTCTGATTTTATTGTGTGTTCATGTTGTTTGTTTTTTGTGGTGCAATAGATTCCTGAATTTAGTTACTGCTGTTTTTCTTTTCAGATTTAAGTTATTGTAATTGTTTTTTGATTTCTAGGTTATTTGGGGTTTTATTTCTAAGGACTCATTTCTGCTCTAAGTTATATTTGTTTTTCTTTTCAGATTTAAGTTATTGTAATTGTTTTTTGATTTCTAGGTTATTTGGGGTTTTGTTTTCTTTGTTTATTTCTTGTGCTAATCTATGATCTTTACATTCTGTGGTATTTGGTGAATGGTTTTCGTCACAGAAAAAGCAATAAGGGGAATTTTCACATTCACTTAGGTTATGACTGTGTTGGCTACATTTATTACATCTTTTTTTGTTTTCACAAGTTACTATGCCATGCCTCTATCTTAAGCACTTATGACATTTTTCGATTGGGAATGTATACTGTCTTACTTTGTAGCTAGTATGACCTATAGCTACCCTGTCTGGTAAGGAACCTTTGAAAGTTATTCTTAGTGATTTTGTTGAGAGCCATTTATCTTGGCTAGTTTTGTCTTTATTTAATTTTTTTAGTCTTATTACTTGTTATTTCATTTATTGTATTTCTCATTTCTCATTTCCATATGAGCAGTTGATATTTTTGTTTGATGTTGGTTGTTTGCAAACTATGTTCCATTCTCCTAATTTTCTACTTTCTTTAAGAGGTTTAATTTTGTTTAAATCTTTAATTTCGAATCTGAGGGCCTTTCCTGCCCCTAGAACTCTCAGAGAATCTTCAATTATATTTTTGAAATTCTGATGTATTAAGGGCTTCTGTTTATTTTATGGGTTTTCTTCATTATCACTTTCTAATTCTTCTCTTGTCCTCTTTGTATGGTTATCTTAGTTCATTAATTGTTTATTAATTGGACTAGTTCAGGATCTTCTCCTGGGTCTGGATTTAGTTCTGTGTCCATAAGATTAAAGTCTTTTCACTCGGTAATTGATGTTCACTCACCGGAGTATCGATCGGTTCTCCATTTATTTATTTATTCATATATGGAACTATGGTTGGCCTTTTTCCCTGTCATGCACATACCAAACAATATTTTTGTCACAACTCGTCCTATGGAATGATAGATGTAGGTTCATGTATTTCATGTGTGGTTATCATATAATACTCAGTAAGTCTGGGAAAAAATTCTGTATTAGAATTACATTAGGCTTGATGTGGCCTCCATCCTTGGCATTATCCATCCATCCATCCATGAATGGCCTTGTTATGCTGCTTTCCGATCTCCTTGTCTTGCTTGTCCTGACAAATTGTCATGACCAGTAGGAGAACAAGGCCATCTTCAGAATATCTGTATTCTTAATGCAACCAGATCGAGAGTGAATATTCACTCTTTCATCTTACCAGTGTCTTTATTTTACATGATGCTTAGGTTTTGTATCTTGTCTGATGTATAGTTAACTTACCTGCATCTGACAAACTCAAAAAAACCCTTTGATAATATTGATAAAGGGCCATAAAATTACCTACTAATTTCATATGGTTACCTGCAACTGTCAGTTTACATACATATGCTATTGTGATGTCAACTCTTCCCACTGGCCTGGGTGCAGAGGAGGGCAAGATGGACGAGATGGACAACTTGTCTGGGATGCCAAAGTATCCTTGACAAGCCAAAACTCTTGATATAATCATGGCAGAGTTGATTGATTTACCTGAACTTGTTGAGTGGCACCATCCTCAAGGAGTTATTATGGGTGTACATAGTCACTGGTCCCAGTTTGTTTGTGCAACAAGTCCAGTGTCAACTGTACAATGTAGACATAGGCTAGATACATAGTTTTGCCAGTACAGTTTTAGTGGTAATTTTTTAATAGTATCTTTGCATAACCAGTCACAAAGATTTTGGCATTAATGAATTACCCTCTAGTATACATATTTGTAGGAATTATGCCATGAAACCTCATAAACCCCGACATATATATGAGAGCACTGTATTTTAACTATAAAGATACGGATGACATGACCATCACATCTTGACAAAATTTGGCTTCAGAGACGTCAGATGTGAACATAATGTTATATAAAAATTTGGCATAGGGCTGGGGTGAGGAGAACTTTTCATGATAAAAATTTCTGATGGAGGCCGAGGTTATGGAAATGACTTGCTGTGAGTGCACAAAGCTCTTGTATCATGATTAGACTCAGTGGGCATTTAGGAAGGGTCCCTATTGATGCAAATTATGGAACAGGTATCTTGATTTATATGTTTATATATTAAAAACTGATATTTGTGTAAATCATGTTAACTCTTTGGCACCAAGACAGCTTTTGTTTATGTTTAGTTGACAGATACTTGGCTTAGTTCACCTTGCCTACTATTACTATCTGTCCACTCCTCTTCCCCTTGTGACCCTCTTTATGCCAGCCTGTCCATAATGTTAGCAACGGGAGAACTCGCACACCACCCCTTATAGTGTACTTTTAATTAAACCATACCTGCAAAGTGTCAAAATATGCACAGCTATGTTCTTGCATTATATCTGCAGATGTGCCTCCACAATTGGAAGATCAGGTATTAGCTATTAACAGTCCTGTTTTGGGGTTAAAGGCAAATAAAAATGATAATATGTGAAACAAGAAGAGACGTATTGATATACCCATTTGTATATTCTATCAACTTAATTTCAGCCAAGCAGTTTTACTGAAAATGCTACTAATATAATATATATGACTTCACATTTAGAAATCTGTGATTTATGTGCCATGTTCAGCATGAGCTTTATTTCTTTTCCCATAAAATGCATAGATATCCACAATAAAACATAGTTTCTTAATATCTAATGTGTTGCAGTCAGCCACAGTTGGAAACATGCAGATGATGCAGCCCTGTACAGGTGCCCTCATGAAGCAGATGAAGAAACTAGTAGGAAAATCAATTTGCCAATATTTAGCTTACTTTTCTCTCTCTAGATCTTATTTCATTTTGATTGAAGGTGTGATGGTTTGTCAGTGCAGATGCTGCTTTTTTTTCTTTCTTTCTTTTTTTGGGGGGCAAGTGAAAGGTGGCAGTGGCAACAGCACAATGTGTTTTTTCCTTGAATAATAAAATGTAAAATATAATAGTAATTAACTTCATCACTCAATTGACTGTAGGTAGTTTCTAATTTTGATATGACTGGAAAAGCACATTCAGTGTTCATGATAGCTTCATACTCAGATTTGTTAAAATATGCAGTAATTTCATCCTTTGAATTTATAAGAGGATAAGTCACTCTTTATTTGAATGGAAAAGAAATGCTCTGTTTTAACTAAACTATTTGTATTTTCCATCACCAGTGTAAATCTAAATATTGTTAATATGGTATTTTAGTTTCTTTTCTTTCCAAGGTTCTTGATTTTTCAGATTGTAGCCCTTACATCTATAATCATTCAGTGATGTAGAGGTTATGAATGAGAATGTGTAATCTCAAAGGACAAGACATAAATATGCAGTATATTAGCACAATTATCTTTGTATTTGACCTTATTCTACAGTTTACACAGTAAAGCATCCATTATTTATCACAGCTTGAATGCATGCATGTTCTTGTGTCAGTTAGTATCTTTCTCTTTGATACTTCATCCCAGTACACTTTTTTGTTTATATGTCCATGATTTTTAATATGTGTAGAAAAGAAATGAATATACACTTTGTAAAGGTTTATACTATGCTGTAACTACCCGCAATCTTTTCAGGAAAAGAATATGGCCTCACTTGATGATGAGTATTCATGGAGCCCTCCATCTGAGGCTGAACTGAAAGTGATAGAGGCCAGGAGGGAACGTAATAACAAAATATCTTCCCTAATTGGGCAGTATCTTCTGAAAGGTTATAAGATGTTAGCCACAACCTGCCCTGTGTGTGAGGCAAGTATCTAATGGCATTTTGTAGCACTATAAATTTTAATATAAAACTTTGATGTGAATCCATGTTTGAGTCATGTTTCATTGGATAGTTATTTTGAATATTTTTATTATGTACAGTATGTGTACCAGAAATGGTGAAATATAATGTGTGAGACCTATTGAAACTTTTTAAAATTCATATCCACAGTGTGTCTTACTGGAGGACCGAATGAAAAATAAATATTGTGTAGGATGCAGTGAAGTCGATGCTGACACCAGAAAGGATAATCCAGGTAAAGACTCCATCCAGTTCACATGGAAATGGAGGAAGTACTTTTGGTATGTGTCATTTACAAAATGTATTGCTCAAATTAGTTTTAAAAAGCTTGGCAATGCTCAAAATCATGTGTATGATGTACATAAACTTCAGGTGACTTCACATTTTCTTATCCAAGTTCTGTGTACATTTGTTTGCTACCAATCCTTTTCATTTCTTTTCCTATTCAGTGTACCAGAAACATTCTTATAGTTACATAAAGTCCATGGTATTATTAAAGGATGGAATATAGAGGTCCTTATTAATACTCTTAAATGCAGGACAAATTTGCCAAGGCTAAGATAATAATATTCCTATGGTTGGAGACGATGTTGAATTTCACTCCTTCAAAAAATGAAAATAAAAAATATATATCCTTTGTGCAACTGTAGAAAGTTTATTTTATGTATTGCAGCCTTTGTTGCCCTCCTTCCCCAAAGTAATTGAGCTATATTTGATAAACAGATTTCCTTTTGGAAGCTTTATATAATGTGGAAATGTTACTTGTACATACAATACAAGTATTGACTTTCAAAGAACATGGGATTTAGCCCAATGCTACTAGGAAAGTGTTGTATTCCCTGTAGTAGTGTTTTGTGAAATGTGGCTACACATACATGGCTCAGGTGCTTAGTCACCAAGGAGTTGATTAGTAGACCTTGTGACCTCACCTGATGTCATCTTTCCTTGTGTCACTGCTCCACTATTTTCGTATAACTTCGTAATTACTCAGTTAATTAAGTTGAAGCAGTTACTTCTCAATAGTACTTTGATCATGTTAGTGATACTTTCCTTCCGTATTTTCTTTAGACTTCTAGTTGCTCAATATATCAAAGACACCTGGAATAAACACTCGTGTGAAATGGATAACACAATACACTTATTTTCCACCACTTTAATAATGTAATAATGCAATAGTTCATATTGACACTGGCACAGATTCACGAAGCAATAATTGAGTGAGCACGAGAGCGACTGGCTACTCGCTTGGCCATATATACACGATTAATGCTGAATGGGGTAGTTTTACTAGCCTCTCACAATCCCCTTAAAATCCACACTTGATCTTGCCTTAATATATAGATAATATCTATACATGTCAATAACAATATATGTATCAATATTAACAAATATATAACCCAGTTATGATTGTGACAATCACATGAAATATATACTCCATTATTATAAAAGGATTAATATAATTACTTACTACCATCCCCATGATGTGGAAGGTCTATGTGGAACTATGTAGTACTTGTTTTTGATTCCCCGTCACACTCCCCCAGTTATATCTTGAACGTCCATTCACGCAATATTATTATCATACAACTAGGATGATGGTAGTAAGAACTTTTCATTACACACCAGGCTACAGACAGAATTATTACCAATATGGCTACTATTGAAGTTATGGAAGCAAGAAAATATATTTATAATACGGTGATCATCCACCCGACATGAGAGATCACTGTAGGCTATGTTTCTCAGTCATTGTTTTCATGCTCTTGAAATGACTCCCTTTTGATCATTAGATAACTGTAAGCAAATTATTATTTGATGGCATTTCACTACTGAGCTTGAGGTCTGTAGAGTAGTGGTAATTGCATAATTAAACTGTAGTGATCATAAGATATAATTTGAACATCACACCTACATCGTTGAAATCCAGGACATCACCGGGAAATGACAAAGTTCAAGAATATTTTGATAACATTGATTACTCGAAGAATTGTATGTAAGGATATTGTATGGATGCTTGTATGGATAATGCTCCAGTCACCTTTACCTTATGAGAAGATAATTTATCTCTGTAGATTAGTTAAGCGGAATTGTTTGTAAGTACGGAGTAAAAATCTTTGAATCAATTTTGAAGGTAAGGAAGTTGTTACATAACATTTTTAGAAATGTGATTTTTCTTGAATTTAAAGCTCATCCTTTAAAAGTATACTCTTTAATGCATTCGCATTCTTTGAGCTGTCCTGGTTCAAGCTTAATAATATAGCTAATATGCAACATGGGAATAGCAAAATGTGTTGGAATGCGTAAAAGAAAGAAATAACAATCCATTAGGATGGGTGTAAGTTAATTTGTGAAACTTGCCACCTCTGGTGAGTGGACATGGGTAAAAGTAATTTATAATAATTACATCTGCCCTGCAATAGGTGTTTTAACTTCCATAAATGCTGATAAACTATTATTAACAAAATTTAGGCTTCAGTTTCTTCATTTCCTAAAAGACTATTTGCTGCAGCCAAGAGACTTTATAGATTAGGTAAATGGATTTGTCCCATACTTCTAATTTTTACTTGAGGAGCTGACTGCATATCAAATTAGGTAGCTCAGTTTGGAGTGAGAAATCCTGCTGCAAGTTGAAAAAAACATTACTCTAAGAGGTGGGAAAAATCAGGTATGCCATATGTGCATTTGATAGGGTAATACAAATAAGAATGATTTGGATGGCTGGAGTCCTGTTGTTTGATTATTTGAGAGCTACATGAAGCATTGTTTTAGACTTAATTGGGAGCCTTTGCATATGGTTCATGAAAATAACAATTAAAGAACAATTTACTTGATTTGGGCATCTTGTTTACCCTTTATTTTAATACAGTTGAATTAATTTTAGATTGATTTATTTCTTAGCTGTTAGTGAGGAAGCAGCCAGGAGAGCAGTGCAGGAGATTCAGCACAGACAGAACCAGGATAAAGAGTCTTCACCCATATTAACACCCTTATCTAATCAGAACATCAGGGTAGCTACCACCCAGTCAGAACCTACAGCTTTATTATCTGTTGCAACATCCACTAGCGAATCGCCACCTGCTCAAGCCACTAAGAGTGTGAAAAGGTTTGGATAAATACCCTTTTTTGTTCTTCATGTAGATAATGTTGGTTGTATTAACCCTTATAGGAAGAAAAAATATATAACTTGTATGATGATGATGAATTTATTTTTTAATGTCAGCAATTTAATTGAAATGTAAACAATAGAAATGCAAGTACATACTGTCTTATAATTAATATTTTCAAATTTACCAGAGGTTCAAATCATCTTACTTGTAAACTCAAATGCAAATATTTGGACCTTCAGGGCTCTCAAAGTTGTGAAGTATGGCAGGGTACAGGGGCAGGTGCAAGGGTGGCAAAGCCACCCTGAGTCCGTTTGCTATATCATCTAATGTTTAGAAATAGGCAGAAATGCTGCTACAGAAAAGTAGCCAGCACTGCATTTATTTTTGGGACCAGACAAAAAAAACAGCCGGTGGCAAGACCAGCCACAGACAGTGATTTGCTGCCTGTGACCAGCTATTTTTGATCTGAATCTTATGCAATTCCCTAAAGGAGAAAGTAGCCCTTTCCATTTAATTGATAATTATTAAACACAGCTAATGGAAATACAAAATTTATCAAGATACTGATTATAGAAAATAAAGCATATAAGATTATGTAACCAAGAACAGAATACTCTTCCTGTAAAACCAGGGAGCTGTATGTAAAACTAAGTATGCAAAGAATAATTATGTTATTACTTTTGAAGAGGATAATGAATATAAATGGTGAGCATTTTTGCTTATACAACGGTCAGTTGTACAATCACTGTTGATATTGTCCTGGTTGCTCACCATGTGTGGGCAATTAGGGCACTTGTTTTCCTGACATGAATATACTAATTAGTGCCTTTGATAAATACATACATTTATGAAATAATGAAGCCTAATTTTTCCAAAAAGTGACCAGCCACCATAGTGCAGTCTTTGTGATTGATGAGACCGAGATAATAGAGGTATAATATGTCCCCCCAGGGAAATGGCCTTTCTAGGTAGAGGACCCTAAGATTTGTTGTTAATCATCTGGTTCCTTTACTACAAGTGCAGTTATTGTAGTCAAACTGTATTTAGTTTACAATGTAATTATTTTAGTTTAGTGCCTTTAAAGTGGATATTAAAGATAATTGTAGGAGATATAGAAAGGATGCACATATAGACATATAAATGGAGTATGTTTGTTGTTTAGAGTTTAGAATAGAAGTAGAATATGACCGTTTTTAGAGTAAAATTTTATTTTCTCACCTGTGCTAAGTGTGCTTATGTATCAGAATTTACTGCTCACTTAGTTTCTTTTTACAAATTGCTTTCATTTATGAAATATTAAAATCATGATAATCTACAAGATGTTTATGTAATCCATGGTTGGATTTCATGTGCAGTTGTCCTTTGTGGGTGTATAAAACAATCAAAACTGATGAACCACCATCCATAGTTTTTTTTTTTCTTTCACGAGGGAAGGTATGCAAGATACCTGTCTGCAGGATTGCATCCAGTGCTGCATGATATTGGCAATTTTAGGTGAATAAATTATTTCATATTGTGTGGTAACTTGAAGTAAATTTTAATTTATCCTTTGTTTTCAGCTTGTCCATCCATGGTGTTGACTTGCATGAAGATGTAACACAAGCTGTAGATGCCTTGCGTGAGAAGTTGACATGGGCAAGTAAACAGCTAAATGCAACAACAAGCATCCATGAGGCACAGACTCTGGCAGTATTGATTTCAGATACATGCAGGGCTATTTCTGCTCTAAGAGATCTTTAAAGAGTGAGAAGAGAATGACAAATATGTTGCTTTGTTTTAAAAGCCTTTAATCTCTGCTAGAATTATGTTTTTATGCTCAATTTACTTCCTCTTTTTGGAACTGTTTTTTGGAACTGTTAATTTCAAGCATTATTTTTCACTGGCAATTATAAAACATTGTGTTGCCTGGTCAGGATCATCATACCTTTAAAAATGTATTGCAGTTGAAAAACAACATGGCAGATAGTACAGAACAGATTATTTATTCATAAAATGGCTCTGTTACATAAAGTCAGCACAACTTACGTTTTCCTTGAGACACCCAAGCATGTCAAGTAGTGCTTATATAGGCTGTGATACTTGCCTAACTTATGAATATGCTGTATGACATCTGTAACTATAATAAATTGAATGATATTAGTTATGTTTTATTATGACTTTTTTTTTTACCATGTGGAGGGTAATATATTAAGAGAAGATTAAAGTTTTCAATCATTTTTATTATGAATCCTCAAAATACATACTAAATACATATGACTGAGCAGAACAACTATTACCTGCACAACTGAAACACTTTACATATTATGGGAGATGGATGTTGAATGGCTTGTTCCCTAGATATATAATCAATACATATACTTTTTTTTGAAGATGAATGATGTAGAGTATATATTCTGTTAAAGCTAATATGAAAATGGAACAAAGGAAGTCACTCTCATTTTTAGTAAAGTCTTACAAAATCAGTAACTTCTTGTTCCACAGATAAACTAAATATAAAATTTTGCTAATTTTGGACTGTCAATTAAATTGATTTTAATAATTCTTTTATATAAAAAAAAAACTACTATTCAATGTTTAGTCACAAAAATCCTCAAATCAAACTTTCTTCTTTTTCTTTAGGGTGGGGATGAGTCATATCAAACACATGTACAGAGAACAAATTTCAATGTGAGGTTGCAAAAGCAACACCTTGTATCAAAAGTGTACAAGTTGAATTAACTTCAGAAAAAACTGTACTAGTGTGTGTGTGTGTGTGTATGGTTTGGGGAAGGGAAGAAAAAGAAAAAAATGGATGCATTTGTTGTGCTGTATCGTAATCTTTCAGGAAATTTCATCTGACTTTTGAAAATCACCTAAGTACGCTGGTAACACAAAAAGAAAAAGGAAAATTAAGCTCATGTGCTTACAAGGATGAAGTGCATCTGTTTACAATTACACAAGAAAGAAAGAATACCAAAATAACAAACTACCAGTGTGATCAAAACATTCATACAGAGACACTGCTTCCATTCTACTTCAAGTATGAAGTATTCATTTTTATTTATCCTGTCATTGAGTTCAGTGACAATGTGAACCTAACATAATTCACAAAAACTGAGGGGAAAGGTACACTGTCATGCTTCACACTGGGTTTGTACTGTTATTTCCACTGCCCTGTACATTCCACAAGAGTGATCCCAGCCACTGTTGTTTGGCTAGTGACTCTGGTGATAGCACAAAGTACCTTGACATTTTACTCATATCAAAATATTTTAAGATTTCAGAAACAGTTGAATACATGTCTGACCATTCACATGTCATCTCTCTCATCCTATTTTAACCAAGCTGTTGACACAGTAACATGAGACATCAACAGTGACAGAAGACCACTCCCAACTTGAAGGAGGGAGAGGGGGTGGGAGGGGGAAGGAGAAAGAGACAGAGGAATAGGAATAGGGATAGGAGAGGGGGTGGGAGGGAGGGAGGGAGAAAGAGACAGAGGGATAGGGAGGAGGAGAGGGGGAGGAAGGGGGGGGGAGAGGGAGAGAGAGGGGGTGGTGTAGGGGGAGAGGGAGAGAGAGGGGAGGAGGTGTAGGGGGGAGAGAGGAGAGGAGAGAGAGAGAGAAGAGAGAGAGAGAGAGAGAGAGAGAGAGAGAGAGAGAGAGAGAGAGAGAGAGAGAGAGAGAGAGAGAGAGAGAGAGAGAGGATGGAGGGTAGGGGGAAAGGGAGAGAGAGGATGGAGGATAGGGGAAAGGATGAGGGTACCGGGGAGGGAGAGAGAGAGAGAGGAGGGAGGGTACAGGAGAGAGGGAGAGAGAGAAAAAGGGGGAGGGGAGGGGAAGGTAGGGGAGAGGGAGAGAGAGAGGGGGAAGTGGAAGGAGACTGAGAGTGGGAGGGTAGGGGAAGAGGGAGAGGGAGAGGAGAGAGAGAGAGAGGGGGAGGGAGGGGGAGGGTTGGGGGAGAGGGGGAGTGGGGAGGGCAGGGGGAGAGGGAGAGGGGGACAGTGGGGGAGAGGGAGAGAGAGGGGGGGAGGGTAGAGGGAGAGTGAGAGAGAGAGGGGGAAGGGTAGGGGAGAGGGAGAGAGGGGGGGAGGGTTGGGGGAGAGGGAGAGAGACTGGGGGGATAGGGGGGAGAGAGAGAGACCAACTCAATGTGCAGCAAGATTTTTATCACAAATGTGACATCTGAGAGGTGTCACAATGGTCCGATCAGTGTATCCACTCATAATCTTTTATCCTCAGCTTGCTTTCTTCTTAAAATCCATTACTTTTTCAGTTCTGTCCTTATGATGAGCTCTTTCATTGGAATCAACATCTCAATTTGCCTTAGCTGCTTGGCGCCGGAGGAGGATGTAAATCTTCTCTTTTATCCAGTCCTTGTTGTATGGTGCATAGGTGTTTGTGCTTTTTTGGTACCTAGAGGAGAAAAGACAAGGTAATCAGAACCAAGGCATTGTTCACAAAGAAAATTCTTCCTAGGATTTAAAACATCTCAAATTAAAGAAATATTCCATGATAATATAATGCTTGTGATGATTTTCCTTAATTGTCATAATTTCCTTGACACATTTTCTTATTCCTTTTCCAAAGCTACATATATTTACTGGAGGATAAGCAAGAACAGGGAAGGAAGATGAAAGTGCTAAAAGGATGTCAGTGAGCCTCAAATGCAGAGACAGAGAAAGAGGAGAATAAATAATTGTATGTCAAATAAAAAAACACTTACACAAGACAGGAGAGGTCAGCTAACTGATCAATGAAGTCAAAGAGCTGTGATATGTCATAAGTAATGCTCGGTGTGTTGGGGTTCATCCTCTTCAGATGCTCTTCATAGATCTTACAAACCCCTGCTTAGAGTTGACGCATGGAAGGGAGAGAATTAATATGGATTGTGGGGAGTGGTACAGTTATGTTAAAAAAGTGACAACGGCCATATTACCATGTTACTCTATACTTTTAAAGAAATATCAGGAACCAAAGGTAATTCCCAACTCTAAAAAAGTGTGAATATCACTACCAGGCCATTGGCAACTTTTTTTAACATAACCAATTAAAAATAATATATTAATCATTTGTGACGTGTTCATAAGTTCTGATAATTTTTGTGACAATGTTCTTATTCATGGCTATTCTTAAATTTAAAATAAAAAGCAAAATTCTTATTACCCTAAGATAAAATAACCCATTCACGACAGGAATTCATGTGTGCTGTCTGCTGCACGTGAAAAATTATAAGTATGGGAAACATACTTTTACTTTAATCCCTAAAGAAACACGGCTAAAATGAGGTTGCCAGCCAACTATAGAAGGGCTGTATCATTTCAATTATCACAACCAAATACAAAACAAGCTAAAAATTGTTTTGTGCACTACTTGGAGAAGACTCAACTGCATTTGGTATGAATAACTGTCACCTGGCATTGAGGCCTGGTTCACTATGATGTGATTATAAATTATCTGTCATTTGTGGGTTATTCATCAACCATAAAATTGACTGGAGTGCTTTATGAATATTCAAAATAAGTACAATTTAATTCAAATACATGCAGAAAAAAAGACGTATCTAAAACGTACAAGCCATTGTGATTATCTATGCAATTACTCACAATCATTGAATAAGAAGAAAATTAATTTAAGATGTACATACACATAAAAGATATTTAATGAAGGAATATAATTTACATACACAATAATTTGACAATAATGTAACATTTCTAATAGACTTGAATGAACATAAATGAAACTACGTACATGAAATGGAAAAGAAAAGGAAAGAAAGAAAGAAAAAAAAAAAAGAAAGAAGAAGAAGAAAAAAGTGAAAAAGAAAGAAAGAAAAAAATATATGAAACATGAGCAAGAAATCAATATGACAAAATGGAAAAAAGGTTTGACTTTCACAAGATCGTTGCCAACCTGTACAGCCTAGGATGATCAACCTACCTTCCATACACTCATTGACACTCTCATAATCGGAAAATGTTCGGGTCTCTGGTTTCGGTCCTGGTTGTACTAGTAAAATTGTGTGAGCCTGAAAATTTTAAATACATGATCAGTCAAAATTCTGATAATCCATTACCATACATGTGCTCATTCACTATGAAGCAGATTTTTTTTTACTACAAATAATGCTGAGAAGGTATGAATGAGAATGAATATCTTCAGAATACAAGGGATGTAGTTGACCGGAAATACATGTATTTCTGATAAAGATATTTGAAACTGGTCAAATACATCTCTTGTATTGTGAAGATATTCATTTTCATTTAACCTTTTCTACATTTGTCAACATGAATACAGTTCATTGTAAATAATGTATTAGCTGGTGTGTAAAAGCCACAAGAAATATGTTTTTAGAAAAGTGCATGGGTATGTTAACACTATCTGGTCCCTTACATCTTGCCAGTGTATGTGTGTTGAAAATGTGAAAATTTCAGGCTCATATGCAACCTTTGACCTCTTGTGGTAACAACTAATTCTCTGTAGTCTTAACTCCAGTAAACAGTGTCAATAATGTCAGACAGAGAAAAACTACATCAAGACTCAGAACTGGTTTCAAGTTCTTACAGATTTTCCTTGGCTAGGATATTTCTTTTGTGTATTTACAAAGCTTCATTAGCTTATTGTTTCCTGGGTGAAGGGCATATACAGGAAAAATCTGACCTAAATGGAGTATTTATTTTACATGAATATGTTTGATGTGACAAATGGACTTTTTTACTGCATTAGTAATAGCATTAATACTGTAATATAAATATCTGTGTTCTATTTGATGGACTACAGCTTGCTGCAACACAGTTCACCTTTTACCTACTGCACATATGCACTGGCACTCGATGATAAAAGAGAGTACTAGGCTGAACTAACCAAAATGATTCCTTAAAGGGATCTTATGGTCCTTTTTGGCCATTTTTCGCCCTTCTTGCCGAAATCGTGTTAAATGCATTTACAAGGAGTTTCAGGGCCTCCAATTCTCCACTGAAAACTTAAAGGCCCAACCATTATTTTTTAGGTGGTAGCAGCCCTTTTCAATGTTGCCCAAAATATTTTTTTTCACCTTACCTTAGAAAATTGGCAATTGTGAAGTAATGATTAGATTTAATTAAAAAATGATACTATTTTCTGAAAGCTTATCAAATTTAACATAAGATGAGACCAACTTTCATTTTTTCGGATCAATGAGCAAAACATTTTGAAAATGCAAATTCAACCCCCCATCCAAATTGGGGGTAGGATTGCGAAATGATCCGGATCACCACCAAAATCTTATAGAATA